CAACCTGTTGTGTCAAATTATTGCTACATATAGCCTCCTGGTTATTGCTGCTTGAACTAAAGAAGTGCAGGCGGGTTATTTTGTTGGGATTTTATGGTTTTTTGTTTGGAACCGGATAGACAAAATACATAGATGATAAAATATTTAGGACTCCTTTATATCGAAATAAATATATAGTCAACTTAATATTGGATTAGTGTTTTTCATCTAGTTGTGGGAATTATTCTATGTTAGAAATAATTTTACTACTACTGATTTAAATTCCTTTAGATAATAAGCGAAGAAAAGATTAGTAACAAGACTTAATAACTATGCCTAAATCCCGAGATTCATAGTGTCCTAATAAACGTGGTTGACTGAGCGAAATAGGCTTTTATGATACTCGGTGCTCATCAAGTTCTCTTAACTAAACTTATGAAGTTATTTTTATTATTCCCTTTATTAAAATAGAAAAAACAATTACCTTTTAATTTCTTTACTTTCAAGACATTTTCGCAATTCTTATAGCTTTGCTTATAGTTAATTTATTTAGAGTATATTACTCATTTTGAATCGATTCTATGAAGACCAAATTGTAGAGCCTATATTTTGTTTAAAACTGTCATGTTGTCAGTGCGGACTCGTTAGGAATCCGCTACCATAGTAGTCGTGCCCTAATGAGAGGGTTTAGCGAGGCGTTCTAATATCAGTGGTTTCCACTTCCCCTAATGATTTGCTGGAAACGCTTATCCGACTTCGCTATCCCCATTCGCAAATGACTTAGTCCAATTATTACCAGATTTTCTCTTATGACCTCGATGACCAATATCTTATCTACTGACTCTTTGGTTCTACTAGGCCCCTGCAACTATAGCCGTTATAGAGGCGTTATTCCCCGTCATGTCTCAAGTATCTGATAGCACATACGCCATACAATCACCTAGTAGGCCCCCAAAACCCTACTTTTCACACCTTTTGATATTCCCTTAGAATAGCTTAATAATATGCTTGATTTTATCTTTTTCGGAATGTATTCTGGCTTAGAACTGTGAGCAAAATGATAACTTAGGTCTCTAAACTTCGTAGCATCTATCAAGTATATTTGAGGTCTAATTAGCCTCATAATTCTATCCCTAGTGGCAAATTTCTGTTGACCCAGACTGACAACTAATGTATTTGCCCTATTTTGTTAAATAGATGAAGGACTGGTGGTTGACTTTTCCCATGATTACATGATTAGGCCTCACTTTTCCATTGAATTTCACATATAGTTGCTTCTAATAAGGTGTTCTCATCTAGGTTAGGCTGTAGCCTCGACCTCACCTAGATCCCATCAGAACCCCTAGCTTGACTCGAACCTGTGTAGTGCAGCGTAGAGTGTCTATACGTTAAGCAGACTGCCATAGGGGAGACATGAATTTCAAGGACGGCCATGTACTTCCCATATGACTTTATGTGAAGGGATTGCCGAAGAAGCAAAATTGTAATTTCCTTGTCAGCCAACTATCTCCAGTCTCCATCGCGTCTATCCTGTTTCTATTACTAATACCAAGATTATGACTTTCCATGCCCTAGTCTCTTGTGTGCCAACCCACAAATGTTGTGGTACTGCTTGTTTTGATTAGGATCAATGTTGAACCACAACTTTTGTGGGTTGGCACACAAGAAACTAAGGCATAGCAAGTCATAGACTTGGTATTACGGATAGAAACAGTATAGACACGGCGGTGACTGGAGCTAGTTGGTTGATAGTAGGCCTGTTTTATAATAGACGTGGTCCATGTAGCAAAGGCTTGATCGTGATACTTAATCAGTGGCTTTAGCTTCGAATTAGTTAACCAGAAGCAGGGGATAGGTAATAAGGCCTGGAGTAGCATAGATAAGGTGGTAGAGGTCGAATGAAATACTTGAACCAGGGAGATAGCAAACAGATCCTACAAGGCAAGAGGGAGACTCTGATAAGACCTATGGACGGTGGACTACGTAACAATATGGCAGCCGCTCAAAAGGGCACTCCACACTAGATAATTAAGGAAAAATTGTGATAGTGAAGGCGTGATACGAGGATATAGGATAGGTGAGTAGCCCATGATAGAAGGAGAGATATCACAACTGTTTAGCACACATTTGGTCAAAGGATCGGCTTCCCTTGTTTCTTTGTCGAGTTGTGATATAGAGCTAAGAATGGCAAGATGCATTGACGATGCCGGCGAAACGTCTGGGAATGTACCACGTCCACGGTCAGACTTTGGAAATGATCATGCTTACAATGGAATCCTGACTAGGTGCGTTCCTCTAAGTCTTCCTACCAATATGACCAAGTTGCGATAACAAGGTCAAACAACTCCTATACACAGAAAAGACTGCAACCACACAAAATTCCGCACCAACTTGGTCTTCATATCTTCGATTAATTCTTTTTATTAGAATGAGCTTAAGGCTTAATGATACCATTACATTTCGCGTCGACTTTCCTTCTAATAGGCTTCCTTATCTAATATCGACTGCAATTCTGACCTTGCTTTGATAATTATGAGAAGTTCGAAACGGGTACGTACGCTGTAACTGTCAACCTTATTACCCAGATATACAGCCCAGATGCAAGTGTCTCGGATCATTTGTGACTTTTAAATCCAGTAACCTCTCAATGCACATTTGCAGCTACCTTAGCTACATTACAGATTGTAGTATGCATTAAACTAGACAAGCTAATAGCCTCATACTGAGGGGCTAGGTTCTGAAACTATTAATAAGGCCTTTATGAGAATATTCACCTTAAAAATTGCCTTACGGCGATTTACATTACATGATGGAAAAGTTTCCTAAAAAGTATACACATTCATTAAGGAAATTCCAAATATCTTCTTTATAAAAATGCTAAATTAGGTTATTCTATGTCAAGCCAATTGTAAGGCCAATATCTCAGGCCAGTCTATCCACTTGTTCGCCATTGGTCAGAAAGAAAATATAAGCTGGTCAAATCTCTTCTAGCAAAGATGGCTCAATTATTTTAAAAGGAACTTGTTATGGAGAATACGACATTAGACTCAAATAATAAGCGTAAGTATGCAAGTGATGAATTCATGAATTTCTTTTGACATTCATAATTCATTTATCTAAAAGTAGAATATCCGGTTACACTCTATTCCTCGAAACATTCAAAAATATGTGCATTTAAATTTTCGCCTCAAACTATCTATCATAATCATTTGATTTTTTATTTCAGCAAAATTTTCCACTGTTTTATATCTCAAGCCTTTATTTTTTGATATGTATTACTTTCTGCTGGATATCCAGGTTATTATCATAAAAACATGAACGCCTAATTTAAAATGTAAATATTTCGATTTTTCATTGTTCGAATGTGACATGCTTCAACCGAATAAATATTCAGCTAAAGTATTCAAACTTTTACATTTAGAGATTTTCATGTAGTAAAGTAAGCAAACCGAGTTTAGGCATGCGATTTTAAGATAAAAATATCCTGCATTATTATATTATTTGTACTTCCTTATAAGTATCTAAGAAAAACTTATTTCATTTAAGGTATGGAGTAAATTTATACATCATTAAGGGGACTTTCAGTTCGCATGAAAGAAGAGTTTCGTTGGTCGATCTCATTAGATGAGGACGGATGAATCTCTTTGTACTGCAGCCGTTTGGCTTTTATACGATATTTATTTTGACGCAGTCCACAAGACTTTCTCCCTCGTTTCGGGTCAAAACGTGCTGAGCTTTCGTCCATCATATGATGGACGGGTTTCATTCTTGTAAGAGTTTCACGTTAACACTAGGCCAAGAACACTATCCGGCTCTATCTTACTTCCTATATACACTCAATTAAGCCAAACGGCTACAGTACAAAGAGATTCATTTGTCCTCATCTGGTAAGATCGACTAACGAATCTCTTCTTCATTTACTTTCATACGAACTGAAAGTCCCCCTAATAATAGTATCTCAATAGATTCATCGAAACCAAGTTTCTCTTCATATCTAAATTTATACGTTTTCAGATTAGTGATAAAAATGTTTTTTGACATAAAAATTACTTAGATTATCAGACAACGACTAATCAATCTGCAGATAATGTAACTCATACTACAAAATGTCTTGCCTTCGCCAAATATCGTAGTCCTTGCGATAACGATCTTCAGGAATTCCGAATCCGAGGGTGTCAAATGATTAATTACGTCGCTGACTATTTGACCACAGTAAGCCAGCGGCCTGTGTTTTCAATGGTAAAACCAGGCTACTTAGCTTCGCTCATCCCTGATCATCCACCTCAGAATCCTGACAGCTGGGACGAGATATTTGCAGACATAGAGAGAGTAATAATGCCTGGAGTAAGTGTACCATCATTGTGATTATTCGTTAGGTTCAAATGAATTTGTCCGAGGTTTGGACAAAATATTGCCACCTTTTAATATTATCGGTAGAGATATATGCGAGAGCCATATGCCATAATTAAGGTACCTAATACAAATTTAAAAAAGATTTAAACTTACTTTCTTGTTCTTGTATATAAAACATAAGGGAGCGTAAAAATGGTATTTAATTGGTGCTAAATTTTTGAATGTCGAAAATGAGTTTATCAGTATCAATTCTCAATCGATTACAAGTTATTATGTTAGCGTTCGCTGCCTCTTGCAAAGAGCTAGTTAAAAAAGCATGCAGCGAATTACCTGTGTTGAGATAAAAGCTAAGGGATAACTAGCCTGATTCAGGCCTGCGAGATACTGATTACATCTACTTACTATGAATTTGTGGAGATATGGAAACCGGCCATCAAAACGTTCAAGTTTATTACTTTTTATTATTTATTCTGTGAAGATAGGACTGAATCTAATTATAGCTATAATCAGCAACTCAGCACCCTTCTATATGATCATGAAATAGTTAGTATTTAAGTTTGTTTCTTAATGACACGCCATCATAAATAAGTACACCAAGGATAGTCAACCTCAGAGAGTTACTATTAGTTCTAAAAATGGCCTTATAGATCAGATAAAAATTTGGCTTCGCTCAAAAGTCGAAACCTTTATTCGTCCGATGTCAATGGATTTAGTTGTAGTCATATACATTTTATCTCCCGATAATAGGGTATATTTACAAGGAACCTGAGAGATTACCATCCAACGTTGATGGTGTCATTTATGGATAGACACCCTTTGTCAAAATCAAAGGACTTCGGTCCCAGCACCTGAAGGCTCAGAGAGAAGCATGTTTTCGTAATAGCACAGGTTAAAATAATTTTATGCGGCAATGAATGAACAAATGTTCCATTTAAAAAGCAGGGCTTTTTCAATCATGTTCGGGATGAGCGAATCATTTTTGAAAAGAAAAAAAGAAAAATGGAGTATCTCCTGTGTAAGTGCTATTTTTATTAGATATTAAATCTAATGTAACAAACAAGGCGTAAATTTGTTAAGGTAAATCTTTTTATCTAACCCTGCCTGAAGGTTGAGTAAATGTTCTTTCTTTTACTTTAGTACATATTTTCTTTGACACAAGTTAAATGATTTCTCCCTAAGAGAGGTTTAAACTTTTAATCCCCTCTAGGTAGCTCCCATACATCTGACTATGTATGGCTGTAGAAAAATGTTATCAGCTTCATTGGTAAATTAACGGGTTACAGCAATTATTATAATTAAACTCTATTGCTTTAACTCTTAGTTTGTAAGTAAAATATTTAACTGGAGAAAATGCTGTCAATTTTTTTCAAATATTTGAGTTTTTTGTTGGTAATATTTTTAAGTCTTCCGTATGATTGTCTTTGAAAGTAACATTTTTAAAAAATTGATAATTTAGATCTGATTAAACTTCTTTCTTTCTTGCTAGGTGACACACTGGCATCATCCACATTTCCATGCTTACTTTCCATGCGCCAACTCTTATCCAGCTATTTGTGCTGATATCCTGTCGGATGGAATTGGATGTATAGGATTTACTTGGGTAAGAAAAAGGAAAAATGTTGCAATGTATTAAAATAAAATAAATAAAAATTGAATTAAGTAATAAATATTCTAAGCTATTCTGTACTCATAATACACATTTTTTAAATTTAGGCTTCCAGCCCAGCCTGCACGGAACTCGAGGTAATAATGCTAGATTGGATAGCACAGAGTGTTGACCTTCCGAAACAATTTATGTCTGGAAGTGGGGGAGGAGGCGTAATTCAGGTAACTTTGGCATATATTGTGACCAAATATTAAATCTGAAGCCTTTAACAAAATTCAATAAAGAAGTTGTTTGACCTTGTTTGCGCAACTTGGTCATAATGGTAGGAAGACTGATAGAAATT